CATGATTCAAGTCCTGAATTCAGGTGTATTTCAAAATGCATATGCCATGGATGCTGTTCTATGCAGTGAATGTTCTGTAACCTGGTTTCTTGATGAGCACATGGTGTGATTGCAGGGAAACAAGGAACTCTTACTGGTGGTCAATGCCATGTTAGCCAATGACAACATTTGGTTCTGCAATGGAGTCAATCAAAGCAAGTTTTTACATCAAAGATATGATTTCTATTTAGGAACTATTATACCCTAGAACACCCAAATGGCAAGAGGGAATCATTTATCAAGAAGATAATTTCAGAAAAAGTTTGTAGCAGATGATATAGAAGAATACACTGAAATGAAGCTATACTTATAGCAATTCATCAGGACGCAGGGGAGCTTTGTGATTAAGAGTACAGCATCATAACTTAGTCAAGTTATTTTATCTCTCAAAGCCTCAGTTTCTTCATATCTCAGAGGGATATTGATACCTTATATGTTGTTCTAAAAAGAGAGTGTAAGTGCTGAGATATATTAGTCTTTGGTAACTATTATTATGGAAACTAATGATAATATTACAAACTTAAAATTCATACTGAACTTCAAAGTTTTGCTACCTGTAATTTAAAAAAACTGTGCAGACTGAAAGACTAAATGTTAAGAAAAAAAATTAGATTATCAAATGGAGTAATACATTTTTGAATCAATGTACCATGTCCACTAGTTTTTATGTTATCATTTTATCCCTGAGGTCCTACTTTAAAAAAGTAACCAACTATTTTTGCTTTTGATTGATTCCATTTTGTGTATATGAGATAGATGATAAAATAAAGACACCGGTTTTCATAAACCATCCTTATACTCCATTGTCCCATTTAATTAATTTTTTTTTTTTTTTACTACTTTTGAAGTGTCTGTGTCCTGTCTTTGTGTGGGGTAAATGTAAATTTGATCATCTTGTTCAAAGAAAACCTTATGATGTGCATCCTGAAAAACCTTTCTTTTGTCATTAACTTTTTAAAAATGGTGGAAAAAAAACCCTAGCCTGAGTAAAATGTTAAAGAAATTAACACTAAATAAAGTGAATGTTAAGATACCATGGCACTAATGCCACAAAACAGAGAAACCGCTGAAAGCTGGTTGGGTTTGGGTTCAAGTATTTTTGTCACAATGAGTTTCAACTTTGGCTTAGCCCACTGAAAATTCAGTGAAATTTTGAGAGTCTAAATGGTAACAATATTTGGTAGTTACAGCCTAAAAGCCGAGCACCTGGGAGTGGTGGTTTCTTGTTTCATTGTTTGAATCTTTCAGAAGAGAAGTGAAATTCTATAATTTGAGTTTCATTGACTTATTTAGTTTTGCCCTTGTGTTTTCATGTGTAATTTCTCCTATGTCAAGTCATATGTAAGTCTAGTGGAGTAAAAAACTTTACAGATAGCTTTGCAGGCAGTATTTTCCTAAGAAAAGATTAGGACTGACATCTAGGATCCTGGCTTCCAAACACTTAAAAATTCGTATATTCCTAATTCAGTTTTTAAAAGAGAAAGCATATTTATTTATTTATTATTGAATGAATGTGCTAGTTATAAAAAGCAGTCTTACTTCATTTTTTTATGTAAGAATTTTTAAATTATAGAAAAAAACAGACAAAATTTGCCATCGTAAATATTTTGCTGGACAGTTTCATAATATTAAATACATTCTCATTGTTGTGTGACAGAACTTCAGAATTTTTTCATATTGCAACATCAAAGCTCCATATCCATTAAACAATTACTCCCCATTTTTTCCTCCCTCCGGACTCTGCTCAATTCAGCTCTTAAGTGGTATTTACATATGTATATCACTATATAAGTAGTGATTATAATTTGATGAGACCAGAAGTCATTTTAGATGGTTTGCAAACTATAAGATGCTGAGTACTTACTTAGAAGCTTGTACTTGTGGCAGGAATGAATGAGTGTTCATAGTTACAGTTTTTATTAGTTGAACTATTTGAAGCTACTTAATGATATGCCTGAAGTACAGAATGTCCTCACTTAACATTGTTGATGTCAATGGGTTCTTGGAAACTGACTTTAAGTGAAACTGCATGTAACAAAAGCAGGTCCTTGAAAAATGTTGAGGTCGGGCCATTGGTCAGGATTCTTTTTTTCTCACAAATGTAATAGCAAATTCACATTGTATATGAAAGGTAGGTATCACTCATGGTTTTGAGTAGTAAGACTTATCGTTAAAATCAAAACCAGAAACAGAACAAGGCAGAAAATGCAGATAACAGAGGGTGACTTCCGCAGCATACGTATAATTGAGAAAACTTGTGGAATTATTCTCCATTGAGATCTTTATAAAGGCAAATAATTCACTTTGATATTGTGATTCTGTAGCTACTGGTACTTTGAACAATTCCAGGAAAGGTGAAAGTTGGGCATAGGAAATCTGGTGTGACTACAGTACAAGGCAAAATCCACAACGAGGAGATCTTGCAATGTGGATAGTGATGTCTCAGAGCTTTCATTTGCTTAAGTGAAAGCAAATGCTTAGGGTCTGTCTTGGGAAATGAATATTATAGAAGATGTGTGATTGCAGAGAAAGTGAGGTCCAGTCACCATTGTGCAATTCTCCTCTACTGATTTAAAAATTAAGATGAGATGTCACCTTAATGGCTACCTCCCACCAGCATCTTCAGAGCTACTGTACACTAAAAAGATCACTGACATGATGATGATGATGGTGGTGGTGGTGGTGGTATTGATGTGATGATGAGGACAATAGTGATCACCAAACCCATACTTCCATCATGTCTTCCCCCTAATATGTCCTCAAATTGGGAAACTCCAAGTTTCACTCTGTAAGCCTTCATGGGGTTAAATTCCTAGCCCTCATGACCCAGAGTTGCACAAGATTTGGTTCTAGTGGGTTTCAAGTACATTTTACTTGCAGTAGGTTTTTATGTGTCAATCCAGCAACTTAATTATCATTTATAAACCTGTTTCCTTGCTGAGAATGTATTTTGAGTCCAAAACAAATAAATTAAAAATTTTAAGGAAATGACCCTTTTTAAGTAGGAAATTGTTTCAATTTGTTCTTGTAATTCTATATCAGCATTTAATAAAATATTTTAATTCAGTTTTGGAATGAGAACTATAGCTTAATAATAATGGTGGAGAACAGTAAGGTAGCTAAAAAATGAATTATATTGCATATATTTAGTTCTTGATACATATTATAGAATTAATTAAATACAAACTCATTTATATTTAGTTATTTTACTTTGAAATACAGAGGAAGAGTTTTTAGACTTCAGTTGAATTTTATAATCGTGCTTTTCTTATTTTGATATTAACATTAATTTTCAATCCTCTGAACTCACATATTTTGCCTACTCTGGGCATATTCTGAGTGGTGAAGGGAGTTAGCCTAAGATTAAATATTTATTTCCAGCCATCTACAAAGTAGTTGATTCAAGCACAGATAATCAAGTACAGATGGTGATAGTATTACTTAGGTTGTGAAGGGTTCTAGAAAATATGATGGAAAAATATGATGGAATAAGCAGTTATAGTGAACTACTTAACTAAATCTGGGCTACCAATATGCTCCTGAGAGTTTTTTTTTAAGGTCCTTCTTATGGAGTATATAGGGGTAACCCCAGTATTAATTATAGCATTGACATATGAAGGAAAACTGTATGTTACATCTCTTAGTTCATTCATTAGTTGACCAATCAGCCAACTTGGCCTGGGTTATTTTTCATTCTTGCAGTCACATCTGAGTCTCTTTTGGTTGATGGGGACAGCCTTCCATTTCCTGGCAATAAAATATAGGTAGTGCTACTCTTTTAAAAGGACCTACACTGGAGTTAATATGTTGAGCAGTTATCTTAGACTAGAATTGTCATCTACAACTTGGGGACATTGAGCAATGTAAAAAAGGTCCAGTGAGCCGAGAATAATGGCATAAGACTAGAACTTTAAAGACCTTGTGGATAGGCTCAAGGACTTTACACTGATTTTATCCAAATTCACCAATAATTGAATGTTTTCCATGTGCCACATGCTGTATGTATCACCTTATTTAATTTTTACAAAACCTTATAAAGTAAGTCTTCTGATAAATCCCATTTTGAGATTAAAAACCTGGAGACACAGAAGTTAAATCATGTTCCTCAAGTTTATGCAGATGGTAGAATAGGCTTGGAGTTCACCCAAAGATTGTCAGAAACCAACACAAATATGTCATTTGTTGTGCTAGAACTTGCTTTGATGGTTGTGGGGATTTGAGTCACAGTGACGATTCTTTGGGTAACATTTTGCCCAGCGCTTGCCAATTAAATTTGAAATTCTGTATTTCTCTTTTGTTCTGCTTCCATGTTGCTTCCCTCACCCCCCTAGTTATTTTCTTCCCTCTTCTCAAATCACTCTCAGTTTGGAAGCAAAGACTCTGTTTCCTGCCCATCCTCTCCACTGGAAAACCCAGATTAATTAGGGCAGAGGAGACAAAAAAAAATATGGTGAGTAGTCAGTTATACTTTCCATACTCCTCAACCTAGCTATCAGGATGAATTTAGATTAAGCATACTCAAGGATGTCCATGAGTAATAACTATAAGCTTTGGGCCTCCCTGGTGGTGCAAGGGATTAAGCACTGCAGTATGAAGCAATCCACAGCCTCTGCAGCATGAGTTCGATCCCTGGCCAGCCAGGGAGCAACCCACATGGTGCAGCAGACCTCTCCTGACTTGCCTCCTGACTTGCCAGCTGCTCCCCTCAGGAGTGTACTTCAGTCAACCTGCCTGTTCTGTTCCCCACTCTGTCTCTGGTGAATCCTCTCATCCCTCACATCTCTGGCCTATACCCCAGCTCTTGTCTGCATAAATAAATAAATCTTTTAAAAAAATAACTATAAGCTTTGTCATAGATAACTGTATTGGGTGTGTTTAAATGTACAACTCTGTTTTTCTATTATTATGTGATATTTCATGTTGACTTGTCAAACTGAAAAATACCCATATTGATTTTGCAGAAAGCTTCACATGTGAGATAAATGCACTCAAAGACTCCTTACAAGTAGCTCTTCGGAGCTTCAGATGTGAAATGGATCATTCCTCAGTCTGTAATAGACCCTTCTGTGAAGCTCTTCAATCAAACCCGAGAATTCAAGGTGAAATCGAGGGGAGGATGGGAAACCCCTACAGGGGAATTTGAGTGAACTAGCTGAGAAAGGAGCTTGGGGTATTTGCTACCTCCTTTTCCAGCTCTAATCTTGAGCATTGGAAGGCTGTCAATCAATGTGTGACCTTACATGCTGTATGTGTGTAATACCTGGGTGCAAACAGACAAGCTCTAGCGGGAGTGTCACATGTACCCTTGATTTCTTTTCAGTTGTCATTTTCCTGACAACCTTCAGGTTATTTTTAGAGTGGCTATTTTATACAAATTTATTATTAGTGTTTCTCTTTCCACCAGAAGATTGTTTGGATTGTTATATTTAATAAGCATTTTTTTTTCTCTTTTGAGAAAAGGATAAATAAACTTTTATAAAAGTTAGAAAGAATTGCCACATTGTGTTAAGTAGTGATCTTGTTAAGTATACCTTATTTAGGAATCATGTTTGTAGATCATGTAATAAGTTTTAATTAGTTTGTTCCCAGTAAAACAATATGATGGAGTTACCCCTAGCAAGGAAACACTATTATTTTGAAACTAGTTTTATGTCATTTTTTATTTCTTTGGAGGCACATTTCCAGTTGGACATTTCTAGCTTAATTTAAAAAAATCTAGAAATTTTAATGGATTATTTAGTTTGGGGAACAACGAATCCTGACACTAAACTAAGTAATAAAAAGTATGCTTTGGAATTTATCCTTGAATATAAAATAGATTTGATCATAGTTTTTGATGCTATGAAATGATTGCTATCTGCTAACTATATCAGTTTTCCTGAATCATGGGGACTGTGTTGTTTGTAAAGCCTGCATATTAGTATAATCTTAAGAACCTATTAATTGCCCTGGAGGTTTACATATTTGTTCTGTGCATGTGACTTAAGATCATAGGAGCTTATACAACATAATTTTAGAGATGGAGAAAATGACTATTGTAATACTTTCTCCTCTCAGTTTCCTCTACAGCAATGCCCTTACACCTTTCTTTTTCAGGCGTTTTGTAGCATCCTAAACAGAAGGATATTGAAGGGAGCTGATTCTGCTTTGATCCTTGTGCTTGTTGTCAAAGCGCTTGGGATTGAAGAGACTGTTGGCTACAATTGACTGTGACAATTAGGAGATGATCAGAGCCCTAGAGTGGAGCACTTAAAGGGTAATTTACATGTCAGTTTGTCGAATAAAAAAAAAAGATATTCAGCTAAGATTTTTTTTCCCCCTCAGAGCCTTGTAAACTGCAATTTGTGCTCTGGTAAGAAAAACCTGGCAGAGGAGTTAGGATAGCCATTACCATTTGAAAAGAAGCAATCATAAGGCCGCTGCTGAGCCCTTTGTCCACTAAAAATGCTGATTTGCAGGCAGTGAGTGAAAAAGTGGAACCATCACTAAATAAAACCTTGAGCTAGGTGACTAGCCCCCCTCCCACCTTTGGTGGCTTTTTACTGTTGGTTAAAGGTGTTTTTTCTTTCTTCTAAATAATATATCTTAAATCCTGCACTGACTGTCATTGTAATATTGTTATTGGTCATGAATGTCCTTTCCTATAAAAATAATAAAAGGATGCAGAGAAAGTGGTAGGTGGAACACAAGTCAACAGCTGGCTATCAGTTGTATCTTAATCTTTTGCCTTTTGTACACATCACAATTTTCCCCTAGTCATCCTTTGCACTATGCTTTCTTTCCCTACTGTATCAGTGTGTTGCTAGGTTATCCCACTTTTATTTACACTCTGATTTTAAAGTGGGAACTGCATTTCTATCCTTCACTTATTTAGCCTATTAGGGCGGACTTGGCTAAAGAATAATGTAGTTTCAGTTCATGATTTCTTGTTCACATGTGGTCATTTCTATACTTTTCTATTAAGCGATCCATATATACATGTTAAAAAAAATAGCTAGAAAACTAAACAAAGGTCATTGCCGGTAAATATATGGTGACAACAGTTATACATCCATTTAATTGTGAAATAGAATCAGAAAGTAAGTTGTTTAAAAAGAATGAAGTTCCGCATCTCCCCCATCTTGGAAAATCACTACTACTACTGTATAGTTGCAAGATTTTCATTTGGATAATTATCTGAAAAAATAGTTAATGTATCAACACAAGCATGCTGTCCAGACATAATTCAGTTTGGTGTGTCTATTTAATTGAGAGATACTTATTAACTTTCAGTGGCAGATACATTTTACAAACCAGTTTTGCCTACTTGGCTGCAGTGGAGAGCAGAGAGGCAGTAGAGAGTTAGAAATGAGTTTGTTTTTAATCCTAAAACATCAGCCTTTATTGAGTAGAGCGGAGAGCATGCTTGGCCTTCAAGAGCCAGAGGCTCCAATACCCCGTGGCTGCTCCCCCTCTTTTTCACCTGGACACTTTACATTGGGTTTTAAGGCTCCCCTGCCATCAAAGACATTTACTGTTTCCAAATTAAGAGCTTCATTGGTCTTCATTTACTTCTCATATATTAACAACAATAACTTTCCCCTCAGGAATCTTATGAAAGGAGCTGTGCTTGAATTTGGGGGTTTCTGAGAATTGCCATAGTGAATATGGAGACAGGTTGAGGAAAAGTGACTCACAGATAGTGCTGCGCCCTTTGCTTTGCAGGAAGGCTCTGAGCAGCTGTATGAAGTTTTTCTTCAACTCTAGTTTTCCTCTTGTGCATGCCCCCCTTGCAAAGAATACACATGCAAGAAAAAAATTAAAAATGAGTAAGTTAATAGGTTATTAAGTGCAAAGAGGACAATCAGAGAGGGAGTCAGGGACAGTGTGGCCATCCTTAGTGGTGTTTGGTAGAATGCAGCAATGGTAAGTCTGTATCAAAAATGAGGCACAGCAGGAGGTGTTGGTCTCCCAGGTAATGGGCAAATGGTGAACAGATGAGCCATCCTACTATTGATTTAAGCATTTTGTTCCAGCCAGTCACAATTAAGTTTGATTTGTTTTTACTTTCCTCTTATAGGTTTGCATTTAAAACACTCTTGGAGCACCAATTGTGTAAAAGTCTGGTAACTGCACATTTTCTTTTTAGGGAGGTAATGTGTGAATGAATGAAAAGGCAGGGATTATTTTCCATTCTAAGCAGGATTGTCAGCACATTTCTACTTGACTGAAATTGTTTTGGAAGGTGAGCTGGAACAAGAATCTTGCAGCTAAAATGAAGTGACTCTGCATGTGAGTTTTGAATGTTTTTCTTCATCAAAAAATTCTGCAGTATAGTTTTGGGACATACAAATTGATTTAAATTTTATTTATAAGAATATTTGGGTGAATCATATGAAAACATTTTAAAGTATGCACATTTGACTCAACATGTAATCAGGAGTCTTGAAAGCTCATTTGGAATTATTTGAATTGAGTTTTTCCTGTTACCATCGCAGTATTTTTTTCAATATACAAATTACCATGTTGTGACAAAATAACTAAAATGCTTTGAAAAGTTTTTAGAAACCTGCCGAAAGAAAAAAAATGCAAATTAATAGTTAATTCACATGTCAATTGATTGAAATGTTGTTGCCACTGAAAGCCCTAGAACCTTTAGTACAACATTCTAGAACACTTACCATCTTACTTTAATGAGCAATGCTTTCTTTGTATTTGTTTGGAGGTGGCAGAGGGGTCAACAAATTTAACAAAGTAAAAATAGGGTGTTCCCAGTTAAATTTCAATTTCAGAAACAATTGAAACCCAGAGACCCCTCCCTGCCTCGGTACACTGGTGTGTGGCCCCAGAGCACTGCTTGTGGGCAGCACTAGCAGGAGCAGTGGATTGACATTTTATAGCCCACCACCCCTTGGCGGTGCTGCAGCTGCAGGCAGTAGAGGGGCCATGGATTTGGGGCCTGGATCGTAACATGGACAGATCAGGTGTGAGCAATGATAAATTTACCATTGGTAAATGGTCCAATCAGACTTGGAGGTGGAGGACTCTGACAGAGGATGTATAGCAGGGCAGGAGAAGCTCGGGACTCTCTCGCTTGGACTCTGAGACTCACTGTTCCTGGCCTCCAAAGAAAGACAAAGTAAGAGAGAAGAAGGATTAGCAGCTGACCTCCAAAGAAAGAAGGGAAGCCAAGGTGCTTCTCAGAGGCTGTGCCCCCTATGCCTCAAGTCCTCCTTCTGACATGGCTTGGAAGGAGCACCAGAGGCCCCAGGCCTGGAGTCTCATAGGGCTGTTTGTTATTGGTGTGGGCCAACAACTCACAAGGGGCTGTAACACTTGTGTTCTAACACTGCCTCTGGTGACCAGTACTTCTGGCCAGTGCTGCCCAGCATTGCTAATGGGTGACTGGCACTCTGTGTCCGGGTCATTTTTGAGATGAGTTTACATGGTGTATCTGATCATCTGGCACCTCCTTCTACTGCTGCTGCCACCATTGCTGTCTTGTCTGGCATCTGATGCAGTCCATCCTGACCTTCAGACTGTGGCTGGGGCTGCTGTGGTGTCATCTCAGTGGCCCCTACCTGTGAGCATCTCCAGCTGTGGTGAGTTGCATCCTGGCTTGCTGCTTGCTGGCTGCCACAAGCTCTAGGCCCTCTTTGGTGGGATGGAGCCTTCTTGAACAAGCAACCTTTTGTTTGGGGCTTCTGGACACTGTAGACACTATCTAGGGTGATCCAGCCACCTGTGGCCTTAAGAACTCTGTTTGCTCTCTGTAGGGGGCAGGAGGACATGGAGCAGGTTCTTTATGATCCGAGCAGACGGGGTGAAGGAGAGAGTCCTAGAGCCCTCAGTGGCTTTTCAGGCTTTTATTGGGATTTACCAGGTACACGGCAAGCAGGGGTGCTGGGGGGCTGGGAACAAGTCTTCACTCTTTCTGGGCTCTCTGGCGTTCTCTCTGCTTCTCTCGTGGTTCTGCTCTTGCGGTTCTACTTCTGCTTCTCTGCTTTCCCATTCGTTCTTCTGGCGTCCCCATGTCACCACCCTTATAAGTTCGGTCTCTCAGCCCAGGTGTACCCACTTACGAATTCCCACACCCTATTCCAGGTGCCCGCCATCGGGCATGCATGCAGGACCGCAGGGATCCATCATCAATCTTAATGGTGGAAGGGCAGAAAGGCCTGACATCATTTACTTACCCTACACTCTGTTAATAGACCCTGTTATTGTTGTTCCCTGAACCTAGCAATCTTGCAGTTGTGCACAGGGCTGAAGAACCCAGAGACAGCGACCTGTCCTCTACTGGGCACTGTGCTTTGATGCTTTGGCACCCTTCTAGCTTCCCTTCCCCCAGAGCACTGTTTCATAATGAATCATTTCTTTTTTTTTTTTTTAAGTATAGCTATGTCCCAGGCAATTCTTACTATGTACCTGGTTAATACTAAGCTTCATTCTGATTGGATAAAAATTGCCATCATAGATAATTTAATTATTTGTAAATTATAAATTGTCATTTAAAAGTCATTTTATCTTTCACTGACAGATTAGCTAGGCCAACAAGCTTGCTCCTCTTCCAAGAGAAACCAAAAGACATTTTACCTCTTTAACGCCGAGTTTAATTTCTGTGTCAGGTTTCCAGAGCAAGCTGTGACTTGTCATTTCAAGCATATAGTAATTTCTGCCTGACTAATATATTGGAGACTTCAGAGGAGGTGGCTGAGGAGTCTGTCTTACCTACATTGATCATCTCTGACGGGAGTGTTTGGTGATTACTTGGATAGAGCACTGAATGTTGCAATGAGGATATGTATTTATGAAGTCACATCTTTCCTTGGATAGCAATATTGTGACAGATAGTTACCAAGTTTGAAACCCTTGCTATTCTTTTTTTAAAATAGAGGTAATATTAGTTTACAACACTGTATAGGTTCCAAGATTCCATTTTTTTTCAAGTCTGCCACTAAATATCCAATCACCATCAACTGCCTTTGATTCATTCCCTCCCACCTCCTTCTCCTGGGGTAATCATTCTGTTGTCAGAGTCTAAGGATTTGTTTTGTTTTGTTTGCTTTATATTCCACAAATGAGCAAAATCACCCAGTATTTGTCTTTCTGCTCTGACTTATTTTGCTTGGCGTAATTCCTTCAATTCTATCCATGTTGTCACAAATGGCAACATTTCATCTTTTTTATGGTTGAGTAGTATTCCACATATGTGTATACACACATGTACCTGTGTACATGTGTATATACATACTTACATACATATAAACGCACACACACACTCCCCACATCTCAATGCAGTCATCCATTGGGTACTTGGATTTTTTCCATATCTTGCCTCTTGTGATTAGTGCTGCTGTGAACACAGCAGTGCATATATATTTTTGAGTTAGTATTTTTATATTCATTTGGTAAATACCTAGAGGTGGGATCATATAGTAGTTTCATTTTTAATTTTTTGAGGAAAAACATGCTGTCTTCTATAATGGCTACACAAAATCACATCCTCACCAATAGTGTACAAGGGTTTCTTGAAATTCACCACGTCTTCACCAACATTTGTTATTTCTTGGTGTGTTGATAATAATCATTCTAAGTGGTATGAGGTAAAACCTCATTGTGGTTTAAATTTGCATATTCCTAATGATTAATGATGTAGAACAGCTTTTCATGTGTCTGTTGGCCATCTGTAAGTCTCTTAGGTGAAATACCTATTTAGACCCTCCGCCCAGTTTTTAATCACATTGTATGTTTCTTTTTAATTGACTTGTTTATATATTTTGTATATTAACCCCTTGTCTGATGTATGGTTTGCAAATATCTTCTATTCGGTAGGCTGTCTTTTCATTTTAATGATGGTTTCTTTTGCAGTGCAGAAGCTTTTTAGTTTGATGTAGTTCCCTTTAGTTTTGATGTAGTTTTCCTTTAGTTCTCTTGTTCTTGGTGATGAATCCACAAAAAAAAACTAACATCCACATCAAAGAACTTTTTACTTATGCTTTCTTCAATGTACTTTATGAAACTCTTAAGTTCTGGCCCAGGTAGGATCTTCTAGGACTCTTCTAGGAATAATTCCATGTTTTTATACTTTCATTTCATTTAACTTTGTCCACAATAATACAGTTGCCATGAAAAAGGCTAAACTTGGGCCTTCCTGGTGGCACAGGGATTAAGTCTCAGCACTACAAAGCTATCGGCAGCCACTGCAGCATGAGTTCAATCCCCAGCCAGGGAGGTGACCCACATGGCACAGCAGACCTCTCCTGTGTTGCCTGCTGCTCCCCTCAGCAGTGTATTTTTCCACCTGTTCTACTCCCTACTCTGGTGAATCCTGTCATCCCCTACCTTTATCACTGGGCTACACCCAGCTTTTGTGTGCATAAATAAATAAAATAAATCTTTAAAAGCTTTTCTAAAAAAAAAAATTAAACAAAACCAAATATCTGATCTTTGAGGCTTTGCTTCCTCAGTTTAGACTGTTACAATAAAGTATCATTAACTTAATTTTTTTAAGCTACAGAAATTGATTTCCCAGTGTTTTATAAGCTGAAAGTATGAGATCCAAGTGCCGGCACAGCGAGTGCCCTCTTGCAGATTTGCAGATGACCATCCTCTTCCCGTTTCCTCACATGGTGGAGGGCAGAGGACTTTGGTTTTTGGCTCCTTATAAGGGCACTAATCCCATTCACAACGGTGCCACCCTCATGACCTAATCCCCTCCCCTCACAGTGGGCATTAAGTTTTCAACATACAAATTATGGGGGGTGGGGGATGAAACAAACATTCAGTCCACAAGTTGCCACTGTCTTGATGCTCTTTGATATTGTCAGAAGGACTATTTGTAACAGAAAACTTTGGAGCCTTGTTTCCCTACTCTTAAGGTTTTTTTTATTAGCTTCAGTTGTAGCTTCAGGAAATAGTTCCTCACACAAGAGCAGGCTTCTAGAACATTTTTCGAGTCTGCCTAATTTCTGCCATTGAGCCTTTTCCAGAATTCCAGAAACCTGCTCAATACTTTTTCAACATAGACTGGAAATAGGGGAGTTAACACCCCCAAAGTTAGCTGTCAATAGGAGCCTGTGGATGCATGCTCCAGTCAACTATCTTTTGAATAGGCAGTTAGTTCCTAGAGGTACTTGGTATGTTTCTCAGGGGTTCCATTTCAACAACAGGGATTTTATGTGTGCTCAACCTTGCCTCTTCATTTTCTTGCACTTCTCTCTAGGGATGGGCAACACACGTTCAATTCCTTATCTTAGAGAACAATTCCTAAGGCATTCTTGATGCTTCTT